AGAACTTACTTTGGTGTAGCTTCATCTCTTGTCAATCCTTATGATCCCTCCATCTCAGCCAGCCCGGCTCATTGTCACCACCATGTTTCTATTTTTGACCATTCTTCTTGCACATGATGCCTTTCCACTTTTTCCTTGCTGAACCACATTAACTCCATTATTCAAGACCCGCTTCAATATAGACCCCCTGCCAAGAAGTCATTCCTAATTCACTCACAGGATCACTGATGTTTTGTGCTAGAACATATGTTAGAGCTAGTTGAAGTTCAACTTTATTCCCATCTTAATTTTTCAGATGAAGAATCAAGGCTAAAAGATATTAAATGATTTGTATAAGGTCATAAGGTGAGCTTAGTGGTAGAACCTTAATATAAAGCCAGACTTTCTGACTCACTCTGCATTTTTTTTTTTACACTCTTACACTTTGCCTCTATCCCTTCAATTCCTCCCCTCCTCCCAAAAGTACAAAATGTGATGTCATGGTCATAAACTGACATCTGTGTTTGAGTTGTTTTTATCTGTATTTTACTTATCTCAACCACCAAGATCTAATGATTCTTATAGTAAGGATCATATCTAATATTTATGTACCCCTTCCTCTTCTTTGTGACCCCTAAGAGAGCTGTATACACACAGATTGACAGAAAATGCATCTTAACTATGGAAGACTTCACTTCAAAAAAATGTAAAAACAGGGAACCAGCAGTTAGCATAATGGCTATGTCACTGGACTCCCACATAGTCAACCGTGGTTCGCGACCCGGATCCGGTGGCTTAAAACTCACGCCAGGCGCGTGTGCGTGCGTGCCCAAGATCCCGAGAGGAGAATGGAGGAGAAGGGATTGCGGCGTGACCATCCCTTCTGGAGGGTGATTTCTCGCTTTCTGTCTCTATGCCTCTCTCTGTCTGTCTGGAGAGCGCACGCGCCCTATAGCGAAAACCTCTCCAAAAAAAAAAAAATGTAAAAACAGAACCAATAAAATGAGGACAATTTGAGTGGATTATTATATTACATACATATCCAAAAATTCCCTCTAAACAGGGACCTCCTATTGTGATCTTAGTTGTAGGTCATTAACTACCATCCAGAGAGAGTGAAAGCTGAGAAAACTCGAGGTAAAAGTGTAAGAGTCACTGCTCCTCTTAGAGGCTCAAGAAAGAAAAAGGCATTAAGAAAGCCTGCCCACTTTGCTCTAGGGAGGATTTTCATAGCCCCTGTCTCACACACTCCAGCTCAGTACGATGCTCTGGTCTCACTCAGCTGGGAGTACTGACACAAGTTCTAAACGTCCATTCTACTAATTATTATCTCTGTGACCTAAGACATGCCACTTAATCTCACTGGACTTGTGTTTTCTCATCTGTAAAAGATTAGGGGAAGGGGCATGTGATGAAAGTTCAGAAATGCTCCCCTCATACATTTGTTGTGAGGTTCATGTGAGATAATATATGTTTTGAAATATCAAAAGGCATCGCATGAATCTAAGGTAGTAACTTTTAAACTCTCCAGTCCTGTATCAGTTAAATCCCAGGAAATAAAAACAAATGAAGATAACAGATTTGCATTTTGAACACATCTAAATTTATTGTCTTAATCCTCTACCTTATTTATAAATGCTGTTCTTCATTCCACCTCTTTATTTTATGTAGTAGATTATTATATGACTTGCTATTTTGACTTTGCACATTACCGAGGTGGCAGGGGTGGGTCAGATTGGTAGCTGATGAAACTCAAGAGAGGCACTGATTTCTTCTCAAATTCTTCTACTAAGAAATTAGGGAATTCATAGTTATCAGCCAAGGGATAAAGGGCTTCTACTCTAGCTCTGCAGTGTCATTCTCTCATTCAATATTGATAAGGAAATAAAAAAAAAAGGAGAAGAGCTTTAATTCTGTCATATTTCTGAGGTTTTCTCCCTTTTGGCCCTCCAGAACTCCAAGTATGGCTGACACAAAAGAATCTCCATGCTGGCTTAGACGAATTTTATTTGGGGTGGACTCAGGGTCAATGCTAGGAGTATAGGTTGGGTACCAGCACACTGCTTACTCAAGAGATATGAGCCCATTGTGCTGATCAATTCTCTATCCACACCCTATCAATCAACTTACATAACATGCTCCCAAAGTCCCATGGACCATGTCTTCCCTAGAACATCCAGAACCATGTCTGGTGCCCAAGTCTCTGTGGAGATGGTCATTATTCCAGGTATGCCTGATTGAAGAAATTCTTATGCCACTCTTGGCCTTTTTATCAACATTGGTCAATTAGAAAAGAGCATCTTTGGAGATAATTAATCATTGGAAATATCAAATACTGCTAATAAGCAATCAGAGGGGGGACTTTAACCAGTAACCTGCAATGAATCACCCATTTAAAAGACATTTCCTGGATCCTTCTTATGGCCTCAGACTTGAGTTTGGTTTTGAGCAAAATATATCAGCATCTAAGAAAAGCTTTCTTGGTTAAAAACAAAAACTACCTTTCTACCCCTCCCCCCCAGCAAGCTGTGGGGGACAGAAACGTATAGATTAGTTGTAGCAAAGTTGTTTCATTAAACCAGGTTTTAATCAACCATTCTGAACTTCCCTGTCCTCCACCAATGGCAAGGCTGGGATGAGGAGAAACAAAAACAAAAACAAACAAACAAACAAAAAAACACAAACCAAATGTCCCTTACTATGACATAAGGCAAGAAAGTAGCTTGTGATATGCTGAGAACTAATTTTTGAAAACTCTCAGAGCTAATCATAATATAATTCAGGTAATATATTTCCAGTAACCCATCCTAGTGGAGCACAAGCTATGCACAAACGACTATTTTAGCATTCAACCTCAAACTGATCTTGTAGCAACAGTTTCACACAATAAATTTTGGACTCATTGTGACTGAGTATGGAATTATAGACAAGAATGTCAATGGACACATATAAAGCAGTAGCTCCAAGTTGTTCTCTGGTGGTGTCCAGTGTGACAACACACCGTCTATGCCAAACCCCACCCACTGCTCTAACCCAGGAGGTCATCTTACTGTGTGACTGCTCAGTCTTCAGCCTTTATAATTACAAGTCAAGAGTTAGTGAAAAATAAGATTTAAGTTTGGGATATTGGCCCCTTCTAAGGACAGGGATTTCATCAATGTGCGAAAGCTTGAGAAATAAGCTCCAAGCCTGGGCTTACTGGGTATTTAGATCTGGCACCTGTATGTTTCAGTTCTGAGTTCTTAGGTTAAATGCAGCTTGGTTGCTTGACTTTTGGGTAGGAGAAAGGATAAAAAGTCCAAGGAAGATGAAGAGAGCTGGCCTCTAGGATGGATTTACTGGAAAGAGGCCTGCCATGTGAGGAACTTGACAGGGTTCATCTCCCATGGGCTTCCCCGTCCCGGAGGTTAGGAATAATCTTGCACTAGCTTAGTAGTTGTCAAGCAGCATAACATATCTCCGAAAAGGTTGGGCTTAGTCTTCAGTGCTGCAGCAAGGATCTGGGAAATGCAGATCTCATTAGAGATTCCAGTCTTGGGCAGGGAGTTGGATGGGCTAGGTGAGATTGTGCTCGCCATATTATTTACAACTGGGACATAGTATAAGGAAAAGAAAAAGGCTGTTGGTTCTAGAAAATTCTGGGTGGGTCAGTGTCAATTGACAAAAGAAGAAGAACTAGTGTGAGATACAGTCTGGGAGGAGCTGGTGAAAAGAGGCACTGCAGAAGGAGGGTTGCCATCCACAACTGCAGCACTGTCGGGGAGGGGAGATAAATTTATTTGTTATATTTAAAATTAGAATTATAGGTATATCTCCCTTCAGTCCCTATCCAGCAGTGGCTTTAAACAAGTGACCTCAAATTTTAATTGTAATTGGTAGTATATTGGTGTTCAAAGTCTAGGTCTAACTAAGATTATGGTTTGTATGTATGCATATATGAGTAACAACTCAGAGAGTTTCTAAAGTCCCCTGATGTGCTATAGGAAGAGTGCTGCAGCAGGGATCAGCCTTCTTTTCACAAGAGACTCTCCCACCCTTGGTTTCAGAATGCTTCACTAGGTGAAAAGGTATAGATATTGTATCGAATTTCCCTCAGCCAAAGACACACACACACACACACACACACACACACACAAAGTTTGGTAAAAAGTCTGGGAAGTCCAGCTAAAATCAAAAGGCAGGTTCTTATGTCAAAGGCGAGCCAGACAGACGCCTTGATAGCTTTGGAGACCAGGGTAGCCTCATATTCCAGGGAGCAGACTGCTGCCTCTGCTGGGGTGCTCCTGCATTACTCTCTGGGCTATACCTGCAGGCTGCTGAAAACCAGGGCTCCAACCATGGCTTGCCACACTCCTTTCCAGAAGTACCCCAAACCCTGTTACCCAAAGGCAAACCACTCACTGCTCTGATCTGGCAAAATGCAATAGCAAGGAGAGGTACAAATTTTACTCTAACCAGGAAGGTGGACATCCCTCCCATGCCTGCTGCCACACACACACACACCGGACCCAGTACCGCTTAATTCTTCCCTCCCTCTTAGATAAACAGTATTTTTGCCCTCCTGAGATTTCAAGATCGGGGGCAAGAAGTTAGTCTGAGGCTAAGCTCACCTGCTGCTGAGGTGAAACAGAATGAAAACTGTTATGAGCAGCAGCTCAAGGCTGAGTAGTGGTTTACAAAGACCCTCAACTTCACCTCTAGCTTTAAAAAAAAAATTCCCGTTAGAGACACTAAAGGGTTAAACGAGGTCAGGCTCCAACCCCCCCTCCCG